GGGGACGGGAACAGCCCCGAGCCTCGCACGTGAATGCCTTGTAAACCCCCCACCCCCCGCCCCATTGATTTATTATAGCTGTTATCATTATATTAATATTTCCCCCCCTCGTGAACTGCAGCGGAGTGGTAGGGGGCCCGCTGTGGGAGCTCCAAGAGGCTCCGCACATCTCCCCACTGCGTTGTGTGTTGAGACTCTTTCGCAGGCAGAATTGATCCTTCTGGAGGCCAGGGTGGAGGGGAGGAGAAGTAAGAAAAAAAGAGAAATCTCAATTGCAAATGTTGTTTAGAGTTTATTGGCGCGGGTGCCCCGCGCTAAGGTGCTTCCTCGACTCCTTGCTGGAGCAAGGGGGGTGAGGTGGGTTCCGCCTGTGCAGGGAGTTGGGGTAGCGGGGGGTTGGTGCGGGGAGTGGGGAGGAAGGCAAAGACACAGTCGAGAGTAGCTGAGACTTTGTGCCCCCGTTGGAGAGATGGTTGAGTCCTCGTCAAGGTTGCTGTGGTATCCCAGAAACACCATTCACTCCGAGCTGTGACCGCGCACCATCCACAGCAACAACTCCGCTGCGCCTGGCCGAGGAATAGGAATTGGGAGCTCGCAAGAATAATATGAAAGGGATCTGCAAAGGGGAAATCCGTGCGAAGGAAGCGAAATTAGCAGACTTTTGGGAAAGGGAATGTTCTAAATGTGGCCGGCTGGACTTCATCCTGGTGAAGAAAATGGAGATTAAAAGTGGATTTACATTTTGGAACCTCATCTTTTTATTGATGGTTTCGTGTGTGAAAGGTAGGGTAGTATTTGAGGGGTATATTTCTAGGGGGTCCCTTTTCTTTCGGTCAGGGCGTTGCAAGCTCTCACCCTATGCATAGGTATATTCAAAAATATAATTCTCTATGATTTTGTATTTGCACTGTGGGTACTTTGCAGTGGGAAGAAATAAATGATCGTTAAGCGGGGAGGAAAGAAGGAGTTGATTCAGAGCTCTCTTCGGAGATAGGAAATGTATTTGCTTGCCAGGCTTGGTGTTCAATGCAGTGACTGAGCTAGGGCTCAATAAATATTCTTGCAGTATGCTCAAACGGATACGTGAGTTGGTTCATATAGCCTCTAACTAGTGTATATTCAAGCAAATCCCACCGGGTGACTTTTTTAAGGTGATGCTGGTGGTAGTGGAGGGTATTACCTACATTCCTTTTTTTTTTTTTTTTTTTTTTTTTTTTTTTTTTTTCTTTTGGGCGAGCAAAAGGACTCTGCGGGAATGCCAGTATCGATGTACTTACTAGTTTAACCCGTTCCGCAAGGAAAGTTAGGAGGGCAATGAGCGGGTGCGTGGTCGTCTCGCAGCCCGAAATGCGCTTCCCCGCTCTGCGCTTTGCATGCGGAGCTTCCCGGGCTGGGGAAACGGCATGGACGCAATCCAGCCTGGAAGGCATGCTCTGCCGCGGAGTGCAAAGATCGCCACCTTCTCCTTCCCTCCTCTGGTACCCATCCCCAGTCTTCCTCTCGTGTGCTTTTGTGGTCTTT